CGTCAGTTTCAGTTGCATTGTATTTGGCGTCAGGATCCAGTTCAGTCAGAGGTTCCTCATCACCAAACCACAGAGCTAGCTTGCCTTTTGTTTTGGTCTGTCATGAGGAGCAGGACTTTTCCCACCTACCGCCTGGATCATAACATTGCCCACATATTTATTCTTCTTAGTGTGGGTATTTTAAACTCTCTACTTCCTGGGACATGCCACAGTGAGGTAATGGCTGTTAGTCTCTGCTCCTGTTCTGGGCACGGAAGCTCCCAAACCCTTGTGGATACCCTAAGTGATAAAAACTCTTTTTGTTCCAGTATTTGGTCTTGACCCTTCCCCACGAGTTCCCGACACAGGGTTCTAAATTCCTTGGAACTTCCTGTAAGTAAAAGATGTCTTTTGTTCTTATTTTTGCAATATTTTATTATTACATTATTTTTAATTTTTTTCTTTTTTAAATCATTTTATTTTATCTCACTTGATGAAGTTTGCTCTTTTTAATCCCTATGCTGCTTATTTTGATATTACATCCCTATTGATTCTCTCTGGTAACCATCAGTTTGTTCTGTATAGTTAAGGTCTGTTTCTTGGTTTGTCTCTCTCTCTCTGCCTTTCTTCTCTCTCTCTCTTTTTCCTTTGCTCATTTGTCTTGTTCTTAAATTCCACATATAAATTGAGATCACATATAATTATTTATTTACTGACTGAATTATTTCACTTAACTTAGCATTATATACTCTCTAGCTCTCCATGTTGGTACAAATGGCAATTTCATTCTTTATATATATATAATATATATACACACACACACACACATATGTAATGTATGCCTATATATATACCTATATATATATATATATATAAGTATGTATAATATAATATATTAAATATATATTGTACATTTTTTGTTATCCATTTATCTCAATGGATGCTAGGGATGCTAGTTTGGCTATTGTAATGTGCTGCAATAAAATAAAATGCATGTATCCTTTGAATTAGTGTTTCTCTATTTTTGGGTAAATACCAGAGGTGTATTCTAACTTGGTTCTCTTTTAAAATTTTGAAACTCCACACTGTTTTCCAGAGTAGCTGCACCACTTGCATTCCCACCAACAGTTGAGAAGTTTCTCCACATCCTCCCCAACATATGTGCTGCTTCTCTTTTGCCTTGTATATTCACTCTTTTTTTTTTTAATGTTTATTTATTTATTTTGAAGAGAGAAACAAGCGCGCAGGCACACAAGCACAAGAAGGGAGGAGCAGACAGAGGAGAGACAAGTATCCCAGGCAGGCTTCACCTTGGCAGAATAAGTGGGCTCCATCCAGGACCACAAGATTACCAGAGCCTGAGCTAAAATCGATCAGGCGGCAATCAGCAGCTACCGAGAAGCTCCTCATGTATTCATTCTTTTAATTGTTGTATGTCTTCTATGTTTTTAGCACTTTCTTCCCCAAATCTCATATATTAAATATATATATAGCACTAAATACACACACACACACACACACACACACACACACACCCCAAATATACTATCAAATGCATTTTTGACTGTATTCCTCCATTACAAAATAAAAGTTAAATCTGTACTGAATATACAGGTACTCTTTCACTGAAGTTTGTTTAATGTGATTTTCAGTTGTATTGATGGTTTCAGGACCTTTGCAAAGAAACACGAGAGGTTTGCACCATTTAGAAAACCCTCATGCGTTTTGCGAGTCTCCTCCTGACACATGTTAGATTTAAGATAATTACCATGACACAGAGGTAAGATAGATACAAAACATAAAAAAAAATGAAGTAAGTTTCACTAAGCTAAATCCATAGTAAAAGAATAAAGTTTGAGTTTCACTTAGGGTCACCTGGTGCCTTAGTCATTGTTAGCACTTTGGCTCAGGCCATGATCCTGGTGTGGAGTTGAGCCACGCCAGCTCGAAGTTGCAGCCTTTGAGCAGTGAAAGATATGTCATCAGATCTGTGTCCCCTTCTGCTGCCCTCCCCTGCTCACTATATCTCCCCTCTCTCCTCTTTTTTTTTTTTTATGTTTATCTATTTATTTTGGGAGATAGAGAGCACAGGGAGGGAAGGGGCAGGGAGAAGGAGAGAAAATCCCAAGCAGGCTCCGTGCTGTCAGTACAGAGCCAGACGTGAGACTCAATCCCATGAACCATGAGATCATGACCTGAGAGGAAACTAAGAGTCAGATGTTTAACCAACCGAGCCACCCTGGTGCCCCTGAACCACCTACTTTTCTTAATCAGATGTTAGACAAAAACAGTGCACAAAACTTTTTCTTTAATTGAAAAGAAAATTATTCCTGACACCTCTAACAATAAATATGGGTTAACTAATCATAAAATGATTTTTTAAAAACCTCAAAATATTATGACTTAATACCCTTGTGATTCTAACATTATAACCAACTTGTCCCAATCCAGCTTTGATACATATGTTCTTTAATAAGTCATCCTGGGATACTTACGCTTTGCTCCAGTGCTGTGGCATCTATTCCCGTCTCCCTAGCTTCATTTACTGTTCACAGTCCTGCTATTTTTGTGCCTCTGTCATCCCCAATCAAAGTGATTATTATAGCATTGCTTCTTCAATTTCCTGTGTCTGAGTTTCCTGCTACCAATTTCTTTTAGCAGAAACCAAAGCAGGGAGCAGAAAAGTGTTCATGATAGATTTCTACCCTATGAGAATCATCTCCTCTTATCAAAAACAGGCTCCTTTTCCCTCTGCCTCTCCCTTAAAATCTCTATTCTATTACTGAGGTGGATTACAGGCAGACAGTTATTTAAATGCAATAGGTTTTCTGCAATTTCTTCAGACTCCTAAGGGCAACCGGCAATTTATCTCACTTCAGGATTTTTTTTATAGTTAACTCTCTGCATGGTGCTTTGTGAGTTATAAAGTCCTTTGTCAACCCCCTCAAGGAGCTAACAGTCTAGGAAATGTAGAATATAAATTTTAGTGAAAATTATTTCAACATGATTTAATAAGGATAGAAGAGTGAAAAGAAATTAAGGACAGAGTTATTTTGAAAAAGTAATTAAGGACGGGGTGCCTGGGTGGCTTAGTTTGTTAAGTGTCTGACTCCTGGTTTTGGTTCAGGCCATGACAGTTCGTGGGTTCAAGCCTCTCTTCAGGCTATGTGCTAACAGTGTGGAGTCTGCCTGGGATTCTCTGTCTTTCTCTTACTCTGCCTCTCCACCCCCCAAAATAAATAAATAAACTTAAAAAAATAATTAAGTAGATTTTTGTCCATAGACACAAAAAAATTTACTGCAATCATTACATTGGGAAGATATTTTTGTATTAGTGGTTTGTTGGTTTTTTTTTTTTCCTATTATTTCCCCTCAAACTTGATTGCAAATAAGATCAATTGGGAATGTTGTTAAACTGCTGATTCTGATTTAGGTAGATTTTGCAAAGGTGAGGCCTAACATGCTGCATTTTTTTTTTTTTTTTGATTTATTGCCAAGTTAGCTAACATACAGTATAATCTTGGCTTCAGGAGTGGATACCCATGATTCATCACTTACATACAATACTCAATTCTCATCTCAACAAGTGCCCTCCCCAATGCTCATCACCCACTTCTCCCACCACCCCCAACACCATGCTCCGGTCAACTCTCACTTTGTTCTTTGTATTTAAAAGTCTCTTTATGGTTTGTCTCCCTCTCTGTAACTTTTTTTCCTTCCTTTACCCTATGGTCTTCTGTTAAGTTTCTCAAATTTGACATATGACTGAAATCTTATGATATCTGTTTTTCCCTGATGGACTTATTTCATTTAGCATAATACCCTCCAGTTCCATCCATGTGGTTGCAAATGGCAAGATTTTGGATGCTGCATTCTTAGCACACTCCCACAGTGCTAGGTGATGCTGAAGTTGCTGGTCAAGGACCACACTAAGCAAGATGAAAACTTGAAAAAAAAATTCAGCAGTAAAGTGGCAAAGGTAGGAATAGTGTTGAGAATAGTGTTGAGTGCAGTTTGAAATGCAGGGCCAGATTTTTGGAGGTGATTTTGCCACCTCACAAAGCAGGAAGGAAGCCTTTTAAAAGATTTTAAACACTGGAGAAAAGGATAAATCCTGCCAAGACAAAAATCAAACACAAGAGGTAGATATAAACATAAGTATAAATCACACAGAATGACTACAATCTTGGAAGGAAAGGGGCACCTGGGTGGCTCAGTCGGTTAAGCATCCAATTTTGGTCCAGGTCACAATCTCGCAGTTCATGGGTTTGAGCCCCACATGGGACTCTGTGCTGACAGCTCAGAGCCTGAAGCCTGCCTCAGATTCTATGTCTCTCTCTGCCCTTCTCCCGGTCGTGCTCTGTCTCTCTCAAAAATAAATAAACAGGGGCGCCTGGGTGGCGCAGTCGGTTAAGCATCCGACTTCAGCCAGGTCACGATCTCGCGGTCCGGGAGTTCGAGCCCCGCGTCGGGCTCTGGGCTGATGGCTCGGAGCCTGGAGCCTGTTTCCGATTCTGTGTCTCCCTCTCTCTCTGCCCCTCCCCCGTTCATGCTCTGTCTCTCTCTGTCCCAAAAATAAAATAAAAACGTTGAAAAAAAAAATTAAAAAAAATAAATAAATAAATAAACATAAAAAACAAAACAAAAGAATCTTGGAAGGAGAGAAAATGTTGTCATAATTAGCACAGCATAGTAACAATGCAAAGTTACTGCACTGAAAATGTCTACATGCAAAAACAGGGCCAAACCTAACTTACAAATACCTGGCAGCACATTATAGACTGTGACATTTGTGAACCAAAACTATCAGGGGAAAGTACCAACAGTCTCCCACTATTATGTATCCTACAGTTGAGTTTCCCATAATTGGGGAAATTACACTGCAAATGCAAAGTGCATGGATAAGCCTCGCCATGGGAAAACCACCTTCCTGATCATGGTATTTTCTCTCCCAGGTAATTATCTTTTTTTTTCCTTTTTAATGAAATATTGTTCTGATTAAAGTGCTCCTTAACCAGACTTGATGTTTTATGTTATGTAAAGGGCATCTATAACAATGCAATTGAGCAGTGAAATAGAGAAGCCTCAGTATGGTGCCCTCGTTCAGACCTCAATTTGGGGCTTGATCAGAATATTCATTACAGTCAATGCAAATTCTGATTCCAAAATAGGTTGATTGTTCTCTCCCAGAGGTGTGGTCTTGGTTTAACAAATAAGGTAGGGCAAAGGGAAAGGAAACAAACAAACAAAAAAAAACAACTAGTGGTTTCCCCTAGACATTGAGATACAGAAATTTTATTTAAGTGGAACAACACCCATAGGATGCAAACTTAAAATTTTAGTGGAAATGGATAATCAGTAAATTCTTTTTTTGCATTCTTTTATCCTTGAGAAACAGACAGGGCACTTTTGCCCTTTAGAAAATCATTTGCCTTGGACAAACTAACTTTTAGGAAATCTATCGTTTCATCCATTCTTTTTTTTTTTTTTTTAATATTTATTTTTGAGAGAGAGAGAGAGAGAGAGAGAGCGTGCGAGAGAGAATGAATGGGGGAGGGGCAGAGAAAGAGGGAGACACAATCTAAAGCAGGCTTCAGGCTCTGTGCTGACAGCTCAGAGCCCAACTCGGGACTTGAACCCATGGACTGGGAGATCATGACCTGAGCCCAAGTCTGACGCTCATTGTACTGAGTCACCCAGGCGCTCATGTTTGATCCATTCTTTGATACATTCACAGAACAAATATCTGAGCTCCATTGTACTAACTATGAGTAAAATTTAGTACCTGGACTCAAGTAGATTATTATGTAGTTTACTCACATGTATATACATTAAAGAAAATATTAGGATTTATATGTGACTGCTAACTGAGGCCTGCTCTATAACATGCTACATACTACTCACTTATTAAACCTAGGATTGAACCCCTCACAAACCCGATATGTAAGCAGAGGAGAATGGAATTCCTCTTAGTAAAGCTTACACGAGGGTCCTGGAGTCATATGCTCCCATACGTCCATTAGGTATCTGGCACAAGCTTTTGAGTCGTTTGAGAATTTAGTAAAAGAATGAGAATTTTACAGATGGAGGAGCTTAGGGTAGGGAAAAAAGAGAGTCCATTTCCTTCGGACTGCTCCCACTGTGGGCCAGAAGTTGTCAAGGAGGAGGCAGCTATCAGAATCCAAAGATGGAGGAGTGTGCACAAGGCCTTGGGTGGGGTGTCCAAAGCAGCCCAAAGTAACCCTGTGGCAGGGCGCCCCGGAATAGATACCACATTCATGTTTCTATTCTTAAAGGCAAAGAATAGATTTCTGCTTCTCTGGAAAATCTGGTGGTGTAGCTACTGAGTATTTGTCCTGCCTTCTTTACTTCTCTTTGTGTTCACGAAATAACACTCTATTTCAACTTAAGCATTTCTTCCTTCTTTGAGAGGTGATAGCTATAGCTGTTAGCTTTGTGAGTTTAGCTGTCTGGACGAACACAAACCCTAGCCGTGGCTTGAAGAAGGATGTGATGAGGATGTGCATAGCAAGGCAAGAGGAACAGTGTTGTATATCGGGTAAATTCAGGACTCTGATCAATAACTTATATTCACTGGGGTTCTTTGTTGGTCTCCCTGTCTTGCATTCTCTCTCTTCCTCCTCATACTGAGTGTACAGAAAGGAGACCCAAGTGGCTGCATCACACTCTGCCCCAGTTCGAGTGAGCAGACACTCCAGCGGGGAATTCAGGCCTTGATAGCCTGGCAGTATCTCTACTGTTGCCTCAGGCCAGGGAACCCTGACTGAGTTGTCCACCTGTTAAGCTGCCTCCAGCTTCTCTGTGGTTTTCTTTTATGGGCCAGTGTTATCTTCCTACGCTTTAGTTTTTCCTTTTCGTCTTATGTTAATATTATTTCACCTACGTATCTGCATGCCAGAGTTCTTTCTAATACTCAAATCTGAACATTTTTATTGCTTAAAAACTCTCAAAAATTTCCCAGGATCCCATATTTTCATTGTGTGTTTTATTATCAGCATCCCCAAATGATCTGAGAGCTCCCTCAGTCTCTTTATATCCAACACTTAGCATAATGGCAGGACCTAATTACATGCTTGGTATGATAATTAACAATTATTTAAAAAATCTGAATCTTGAAACTCTTTCTTCCTATGAATATTTGCAATAGTGTAACCCAGTTATGTGCTCCCTAAATGGATGTATAATATTGGGAAAAGTAATCTTAGAAAACATTGTGAAAAATAATCATAGAAAAATAGCTTCTCCTATGTATGTGCTTCTGGAGTTTTTATCATGTTCACTGTGTTATTACACAGAGGCTAAAAGATAGAATGGTGATTTTATATAAGGGTTTATTTTAAATACCTAGAATCATTTTTAAACTTTTTGTTTGTTTCATACTGACTGCTTTGCACTCTAATGAAGCAGCTTGTTTCTTAGCATAATTATTCAGTAGAAAAAAATTTTTTTTGAGGTCTTACTTAAGGCTGAAGATCTGGGTTCTGGAAATGATCCATGACCTCCTAGCACCACCCAGATATATAGATTTAACTTCCAGTAGGTTGGAACAGAAGGGCTCATTCCATGCTGCAACTCCCGAAGAATGTGTGAAAAATAGAGGGCATATCTCCAACCAGACAATATTCATGTTTGAAGGTGTCTTAGGACAGCCCAAGTTCTTCATATTACTGATAGACACACACACACACACACACACACACACACACACACGAAAGAAAATCCATTTCATAAGAACATTTTAAATTTAAATAGATATGTTTTGAAACTATGTTCATGTAACTAACACCAGTGATATTTTCCTCCTGATATAGATAGTTGCCAGTGGTATACAGCATCATATACTCCCATATGTACACATGTATACTCCCACAAATCATTTATCCTTAAAGAAAGATCAACATTAATTTAAATTAACTGTTTGCCTACAAGTAGGAGGCAGCTTATGGACTCGGAAAATGTGTGATTATATGATCATTTTTTTCAATAAATATTGGCTTGGTGTTGCTGCTTTGATGAGTTCTCTATATCTTATCCCCAAATGTAGATACCCAGTGTTCATAACATGAACTGGTATAATACTATTTCTTCCAGATACACACTCCTACAGTCTTCAGTTGTATTTCTATTCTAACACAATATATGATATATAATTATTTACTTGCATCTCTGACTACATCGCAAACTGTCAGCTTCTTAATGAAAAAGGTAGCCTATTTATTGCATGTATAGTAACTAATGAAAATAACAGGCAATCAACATGTGTTTATAGAAGGAATGTGTAAATTAATGAAATGAATGAGTGGATACATAAATGAATGAAAGAATAGACTTGGGCTAATAAATTGATTTGGGGTATTCAATTCTCTGAAAAGGATTTCAAGCTATCTACTGTATTAAATTTATATATACTGTTAAATAACAAAAATTCAATCAAGTAACTTTTAAAGATCTAATTGGCTTTATTAATCAATTCATGGATCATCCTATCTAGCATGTAAAGGGGATCTGCAAAGAGCTACAGGGAAAGAAACGGTTTTTTTTTAATTTTTTTAAGTTCTTTCTTTCTTTCTTTCTTTCTTTCTTTCTTTCTTTCTTTCTTTCGAGACAAAGACAGCACAAGTGAGGGAGGGGGCAGAGAGAGAGGGTGAGAGAGAATCCCAAGCAGGGTCCATTCTGTAAGCACAGAACCCGACACAGGGCTCAAACTCATGAAACTATGAAATAATGACCTGGGCTGAAATCAAGAGTCTGTCACTTAGCTGAGTGAGCCACCCAGGAGCCCTGAGAAGGAAAGTTATTTAAAGGTAGAGAGGGAGTAGGAAAAAATTATTGGCAAACAATTCATTGTTTTAGGCAATGTTGTCATCCTACCAGGAACAGAAGGAGCAAACATTTGCTCCATTCCATGGAGCAAACATTTAAGGTGAAATTGTAGGAGCTTGTATGAGTCTCATGTTATGAGATATCACCCTAAAATAACAAGACTACGGTTACATAAATGTAATCCAGATTTCTATCAAAACCTAAAGCAATCACTTATGAAAGCCTGTGGCATCCATGCAAGGCTAGTGTAGTTACCTTCTAAGCAGGAAAGTTTGTTCAAAGCAGAAAGAAGTCAAGAATTTCAGATTGTAGCCATATTTCTTCTCTTCTTCCTAGTCTGTGTTTGTTCTTCCCTAACTGAATTCTGAAGACCCCATTCCCTTCTCCCCAAAAAATACATTGTTAGCTGTAAGCTAGAGAATCTCTCTGCTTTTAGAAGAGCTTCAGTGAAATAGATCGCTTTTCATGTGTTCATGTTTGAGCAGAAAGGAGAAATCTCCCCTCTGCTCCATTCCCATATTCATGGATATCCTCTGTCTGTCTATCCAGCTATCTAACAATCTATCTACCCACTTATCTACCTACCTTCTCATCCAGAGACAGAGAGAAAGGGAGAGGAAGGAAGGAAATAAAGAAGGAAGGAAGGAAGACAAAGAAAAATAGAGGTGGCAGATGGACTCAGTAGGACGGGGAAATGATCACAAGGCAAGCCAGAGGGATATGTATCACTGAAAAATGGAGCCTTGACTCTTGTGTCATGTCAACCAGATATGTGAATGTGGCTAGTCATTTTATCCAGGCCATTGCTATAAGTATATATATACATGAACACACGCGCGCGCGCGCACACACACACACACACACACACACACACACACACAGTTGTTTCCAAGATCAAAAAATAGTTTTTTTTTTCCTATTGCTTACTATATTCTAACTAATATTAGGCAGCATTAGACTGCAGTTCAAGTACATAGGGCTACTTGTACCCCGATGTTTATAGCAGCACTTTCAACAATAGCCAAATTATGGAAAGAGCCTAAATGTCCATCAATTGATGAATGGATAAAGAAATTGTGATTTATATACACAATGGAATACTACATGGAAATGAGAAAG